TAACAAATGTTGGAGAGGTTGTAAAGAAAAAGGAAGCCTCATACACTGCTGGTGGGAATGCAAACTGGTGCAGCCACTATGGAAAACAGTATGGAGATTCCTCAAATAATTAAAAATAGAACTACCATACGACCCAGCTATCCCACTACTGGGTATCTACCCAAAGATCTTGAAGTCAGCAATTCCTAAAATCCTATGCACCCCAATGTTCACTGCAGCATTATTTACAATAGCCAAGACATGGAAGCAACCTAAGTGCCCATCAACAGATGACTGGATAAAGAAGATGTGGTATATATACACAATGGAATACTACTCAGCCGTAAAACAGAATAAAATCGTCCCATTTGCAACAACATGGATGGACCTTGAGGGAATTATGTTAAGTGAAATAAGCCAGATAGAGAAGGACAATCTCTGTATGACTCCATTCATATGAGGAATTTAAAAACGCAGACAAAGAGAACAAGATTAGTGGCTACCAGGGGAAAGGTAGGGTGGGGGGGTGGGCACAAAGGGTGAAGTGGTGCACCTACAACACGACTGACAAACAATAATGCACAACTGAAATTTCACAGGATTGTAACCTATCACTAACTCAATAAAAAAAAAAAAAACCCTAAGAGAAGCCCTTCCTCCACAAAAAAAGAGACAAAAGAAAGAAAAAAATAAATCTTTTAAAATTAAAAACATGATTGCTAAATAAAAGCTTCAGTGAAAAGATTAAAAGCAAATGTGTTCCTGATTGTGGTTGTGGTGGGAGTTACACGAATCAACAGGTGTTAAAATTCAGAGAACTATTTGCCAAAAAAGGATCAATTTTAATGTACGATTTTTTAACTAAAATTTAAAAACAAGAAGAAAATCAAAGAAACGTATAGAAAGTAGAGTAAAATGAATAAAAAGGTTGACAAAAGGGAGGAAAAAAGGGATAATCTAGGAGAGCACTGTCAAACTAATAAGTGTTACAAACTTTAATATTAAGAATAAAGAAAATAATAAAAAAGAAGTGATGAAAGAAACAATCTAGGATAAAGCTGAGAACTCAAAAATCTATTTCTCTGGCTAAAAAGACCCACTAAGTGCCCAATACAATGATTATTAAGATCAATACCTAGACACATTGTGGTAAAAATTTCAGACCCCTTTTCAGCAATACTAGATAGCTTCAGAGTTCTATGGGAAAATGATTTTCTACCTAGAATTCTGTAAGAACGAAACTAACAAGCGTCAGGATAGATTAAGGACATTGTTATATATACAGGGGCTCAGAAATTTATGTCCCATAACCTTTCTTAGAAACATACCAAAAGATATATTGTAGGAAAATAAAGTAAATGAAGAAAATATAAATTTCAGTAAAGAATAAAACTTTTTATGGTTTTTCTGGGTTCAGGAAAAAAAATTTGATAAAATACTTAATATAATGAAAATACAGAAAAACCCTGAGGCTGTGATAAAAACTCAAATTGTATACAAAAAAAGAAAGTAATTAAAATTCCAGGAAAATCTAAAAGCTGTATAAAAAAGAAAATTACTAAAATTAGCTCTTCAGTGAATAATATTTACATAGTAACATAAACATGATCTATTGATTTTCAACTTTAAAATCAACCTACAGAACAAACTACTGATACACACAAGAACTTAGATGGATCTAAAGGCACGATGCATGAAAAAAAGCCAATCACAAAAGTCACATACTGCATGATTCCACTTACATAACAAAGTCGAAGCAACACCATTACAGTGACAGATGACAGAGTAGTGTTGCTGGGGGTGAGGGGAGCGGTGCAACTACTAAGGGGTATCACAAGCAAGTCCCGTGTGGTGATGAACAGTTCTCTATCCTGACTGTGGAGCTGCGTGCTCAAATCTACACACACACGATGAAATTTCACAGAACTATACACCATGGAAAAACTGGTGAAATCCAAATAAGGTCTGCACCTAAGTTAATAATTGTACCAACATCAATTTCCCAGTTTTGACAATGTGCTATGGTTATATATTACCATTTGGGAGCACTAGGTGAAAGGTAACTATACTATTTTTGCAAATTCTTGTGAATAGCAAACCATTTCAAAGTAAAAAGATTTTTTTAAAAAAATCAACCTATAGACAAAGATAAGAATTTACTGTTACAAAACAGACTCAAAATAAAATCAGAGATGACAGACACTGGGAGACAGAAAGTGGAAAGGAGCACAAATGAAGGATAGAGGCCTCAATATCCTCACATCTTACAAAGTAGAGCAAAGAAATACTGCAAATAGTTGCTGGTGTAAGACACAAACGTGCAAATATGTTCCCTAATGCTATAACAATAACACTTAAAGAATTAAAAATATTGTTATAACTCTATCAGGAGAATAGGGAGGAAGAGATGGTATGGTGACTTAACAGACACATACTACCCTCAGTATTGGGAGGGAATGTCTAAAACACATGCAAACAAGTTGGACGTGCATTATTTAGACACATGGAGGACTATCTTCTTCCATATGTCTTCTCTGAAGGAGGCTCTGGAGAGCAAAGCAGGGATGGAGAGGTAGCATAGAGGACTGTCATCACACGGACTCTGTACTGACAATTACCTGATAAATGAAAAGAGAAAAGTCTATCACTCTAGCAGGTAAAATGAGGTTGGCTATCATTCTAAACAATACCTTGCTTTCAAAGTAATCTGTCAAAAGAAAAAGGTTTTCGTCAAGATACAAAAAGGATGATGTCAGCACAGATGCCAGAGCAAAGACCTCCAAAAATTCACCTCTCAATAAAAGCAATGAAAGGACCAGCAAAAACTGTCAGGATCACATTTTGAGAACTCTGAAAACTAACCAAAGGGACCTAGGGAGCATTTATTGAAGAAAAATGGCTGGATCTTGGTAAAACCAGCGAGCTTAATGGAGTTTTAACTTGCCCTAGTCCTGTCCTATCTAATCTCTCCAGTTACACAGTAGCCTTGAAAAGTAAGCTTGTATTCCCAGAGCAGCTTGACAGTCAGCAGAGAGAACAGAATGAAGCTGGCGCTCTTTCAAAGCCTGTAATTAACTGACCTATCTGGTGGTTCCCTATAAGATCTCTACATACAATGCTAACCCAGAGCTTGCCCAGAGCAAAAAGCCTTGCGGGGAGGGGGAGGCCAAAGGTGTCTGTCCACAGAGATTACCTCAGGCAAGCGTTTTATCTTTACAGTGCCTGACTCAATGGATAACGGCTATAGGGGTCAGGAGACTAAACAAAAGTCTTAACACAAAAGCTGCGAAGAAATGTGATGTCGACACTGGCTTGGAAAAGCCACATGCACCCGGAGAGCTATGCACATGCTCAGGAGAGACCTGTGAAAGCCCTAAATTCTCACCTCTTACTGACCTTGAGACTCTGCACACGAAGGAGGTAAAAGCTAAAGCAGAGCTGTAAACTGCCTGGCTGAGTGCTGAAGGCACACCCCAACACACCCACAGAGAAAATTAACAAAACTACAACTTGGTTCTTTGAAAAGATCAACAAAATTGACAAACCTTTAACTAGAATGACCAAGAAAGAAAGAAAGAAGACCACTGAAATCAGGAATAAAAGGAGGGACATTATCACAGACTCTATGGAAAAAAAGATTATAAGGAACTATTACCAAAAGTTACATGCCAGCAAATTAGATAACCTAGATGAAATGGACTAATTCCTAAAAAACACAAGCTACTGGAGCTGACTCCAGAAGAAAGAGAAACTCTGAATAGATCAACAGCAGGTAGAAAATAAATTAGTAATTAATAAACTTCCCATAAAGAAAAACCCACAACTATATGCTATCACAGGTGAATGCCACCAAATGTTTACAGAAAAATTAATAGCATCCTTTACAAACTCTTCCCAAAAACAGGAGGGAACACTTCCCAACTCATCCCATGAGTCCAGACAGACATTAAAAGAAAACAAAACCACAGACAATATCTCTTATCCCAATATCCCTTAACCTCACTAATAATCAAGGAGACACAAATTAAAGGAAAAATGAGATAAACTTCACATCCAGAAGACTGGAAAAACTAAGAAAGCTGACGATAAGTACCAGCAAGGATGCGGGGAACTAACAGTAAAACCTTGCTAGTGGGCGTATAAATTAGTATAGGCAGTTCAGAGAATGATGATCTAACACTTAGCAAAGCTGAAGACACACAGAGCTTTTTAACTCCGCAATTCCAGTTTTAGGGGTACAGTGAAGAGAAACTCACAAATTTGGCTAATGAAACAGCAGACAATATTCACTGCAGCACTGTTTAGATAAAGTGGAATGGATAACTATGGTTTCTTTATATAATGGAACACCAAACAGCAGTTAAAAATGGATAAACGAGCCCTACACGAATCAACATAGATATACCTCAAGAAATGTTGAAATAAAAAAACTGTGTATCATTCACGTAAATTTTTAAATACAGAAAATAATCATTTGTAACTCTTATGGACTTACACACAATGTAAACATGCCTACGAATGATCCACATCAGTTTCAGAATAGTGACCACCTCTAGGGAGCACATAGGAGGACTAGTTATTTCTGTAACAATTTATTTCTTTAAAAAGGAAAATCTGAAGCAATTATGGTGAAATGTTAACATCTATTTAATTTCTCTTATGACAGTATATTTTTGTATTTTTCTATTTTACATATACATGAAAACATTTAGCAAATATATAAAAATAAATATATATGAGAGAAACAATTCTCATAGTAACAAAACTATTTTCACTTTTACAAATCCTTTTCTTTCTTTATTTATTTGAATATTGTTGAAATTGTAGAATACAAAACTTTTCATATTATTTATTTTGTATTAACAACTCTATGTTTTAACTTTTTCTAATTATTTCTAAATTTCTTCAAGTTTTTCCATAAATCTCAAAGACTTTAATTCATATTTGGGGGCAGGCGCAATACTGAAGTCAAATATTTTAGTTTGTGAAGGTAGAAGAAAATGTTAAAATGAAGTTCTTACTTGCTGAGTTTGTCTAAATTCTTCCAATAGTTTTAGTGCCATATCATAATCTTTCAGTAAATGATATGCAATAGCATATCCAATCCAGGAGGCACGTTGTGTTGGGCGCAACTGAAGAAGCTGATACCTTGTCTCCTTAAAAAAAAAAAAAAAAAATTATTTTTTTTACTTTTTTAACTTTCTCTAAAATATTTATATTTTATCACAGAATTTTAGGAAAATGATTTAATACCTTTAATTCCATTCTAATGAATTCAATGAACAAATATCAGTTCCAGAATAAAATGGAAGTATTTTTTTATCTTCCTTATCTAAATTAATTAAGTTCTGGCATACCCTGCCTATAATGTTCACTGTAAGGCTGTCACTGAAAAGCCGTCCTTGGGGCCCATGCTTTTGGGCTGCCTTGTAAAATTACCTTTATAGAACGAGAATTTCTTTTAGTAACCAAACATCTTAGAAAAGAGACTAAGATAGCTTTTCATTAAACTAAATTTTGCTGCTTATAAAATTATCATATGGAATTACAATGTATTTACATTGTATAATAGGCCCCAAAGACAGGGTGGACACAGCCAGGGGAAACACTCCAACATCTGACTGGACTTTTCTAGCAGAACCATCACTGCTGCCACTCTAACGCAGCTCAGTATCCATGACATTAAAACACCAGAAATTCCACCATGGCTGCCCCAGAAGAATCAAGATACCGTCACTACCAGAAATCCAAGCTCCCTACACAGTCCCACGTCCTCATAGTTCAAATCTGCCTCTGAGTTTCAGACGAGTGCAACTGCTTAGAGGAACAGGGTCTCAGAAGAACACCAGCTGCAATGAAGTTTCCAAAGTGCACTGTTTAGCTTCTGCGACTGTTGCAGAACCGGTGCCAAGCGAGTCCAGCCACAGTATAAGCCATGAGGAATAACATGATCGGATCTTTTTTAAAAAAGATATCTTTGACAGAAGAACCTAGTACCACTCCTCTACATTCATGTGTAAGCGTCTGGTTCCTTTTGGGTATATGACATTAAGCTATATCGCTCTCATCCCTTATTTGCAGTGTTGCTTCTCTGTCACTCTTCTCCTTCATTAAAGTCTGGGTTGGTTTTCTTCTCCCTGCCAAATCCTGCCATTATCCTGGGCAAAAGTAACACTGTGGCGTGCCCCTCCAACAACCTATCTTCTTAGATCCAAAATTTCCTCACTTTAATGATCTTCAGCCCACTTCAGAGACGCACTCCCACAACCACATCCTAGACTTTACTGCCACCCAGAAATCATATATTCAGATATCTCACTCTCTGGCCACAGCGCCTATGCTACCAATACTCTCACTCATTGGCATTCGTACCCTTGTTTGTAGACACCCAGCAGCACCTCTAGTTTCTTGGGTCCTTCTAACCGCCAGCTCTTTTATCTTCATTTACTTCACTATCCCTCTTAGCAACCACTCTCTTGCCAATGTTCTTAATTTCTTTGCCTCATTTCTAAAGATAACTGATTTCATCTCCCAGCGCACCCAGACTGCTAAGCCCTGCTGAAGAAAAACCGCACAACCTTGAAGAATGGTGCCATTATTAAGCTGATCAGAACCCCCGAAACTTGTGCAAAAATCTAGGCATAGGGTATAAGAACTTACATGGCAGTAGAAGGGCAAAAGTAAATGAAAGACAGTTTACTTAAAGAGAACTGTTAAGAGGTGGTGGCCTTCTTCACATAAGAGAGAGAATTCCATTTTCAAAGCACTGAATTTAGGATACTAAGTGGAGTAAGCACATGGAGATACCCAGCAGAGTTGAAGATGCCAGTCTGAAGAGGTCTGGACCACAGAAAGATAGACTTGTAGCAATCCTTCTCACATTATTTTATATTTACTAACCCATAATAAAGAAAGCTAATTAATCTCTACATTTAGATTTCAACTGTAAAATCTCCATTTACCAAATTTGTAAATGCCAACCCTCAAAGAATCTAGCACAGCATTTGTACATAGGAGATATTCTAGTTTTTAAAAAACCATTAAATGAGGCCAGCCCGGTGGCGCAGCGGTTAAGTTCACGTGCTCCGCTTTGGCAGCCTTTTGGTGCACCAGTTCGGATCTCGGGCACAGACCTACACACGCACCACTCATCAAGCCATGCTATGGCAGGTGTCCCACATACAAAGTAGAGGAAGATGGGCACAGATGTTAGCTCAAGGACAGTCTTCCTCAAAAAAAAAAAAAAAAAAAGCTTTAAATGAATAAACAGCTATCCTTTTTTGAGGATCAAGTGTACAGTTCCACAGCTACTGCGCAGAAGCGCCCACGTGACTCTCCTTCTACTACAGACTATAATCAACAATCAAACCTACACGATCTCGGTTTACATTCATCTCATTCTGAATTCATATGCTTCTAAATTGTTATCTATTATAAAAGTATGTACATAAGACTAAAGTACTTACTCGGTAACCTTCAAGGTCTCTCATTTGGATCTGCAACAGAGAAAGATCTCTCAAAATTTGCAGATTATCTTTATCTAATTTGAGAGCATTTCGGTAACACTTAATAGCTTCATCATATTTCTTATGAGAACGCTGCAAGAGTCCATATACATGCCAACCTATCAAGTTAAGGAAATAGAGACATTCACAGATACTAGAACATACTATGCTGCATATCTAATATAAAGCTTACCTTAACGAAATGGTATTTTGTCTATTATTTACTTCAGAATGATCTGGGGTCAGAGGGAGGGGGAGAGTGAGGGGGTGGTAAAAGATGAAACCAAATCAGCCTTGACTGACAACTGTTAAATTACTGAAGCTAGGTGATATGTACATGGAGGTTCATTATTCTATTCTATTTTTGCACGTTTGAAATTTTCCTTAATATTTCTTTAAGTAATCTTAAAAAATTCTCAGTAAAAATTCTTCACATGCCCTACCCTCATCCTCTCACTTTCTTACCCCAGCACTTCAACAGTCACTTATTCTTAATCACTAAGTATTAAAAGAGAATATATAAAAAAAATTGCAGTTATCTTTTAAAACAAGTTTATATTCAATTAATTCTAATACAACATGTAACTATCAGTTAATTCACTAGTGACATTAAAGACCGCAAAAATTATTAATCATAAATTAAAGTCTTAACCTTGGATCCAAAAGAAACTATCATACTTACACGCCCTCTCTCTTCACTGGGGTAAGCACTGAGATAATGAAATGAGTATTTAGTATTTTGAGAGAATCCTAAGCTAAATATGTGAAAACACTACCAAGACTACTGATGTTCAGTACTGGCCAATAGCTAGATGAATTAAATTTTAAAAATTAAGATACAAGGGCAATATGCAAAAAGGTTGTGAATAAACATATAAATAGGAAAAACAGAAATGAAAATCAATTTCAATGACCCATCCTTAAAAAGTATTTTTGTTGTTTTACAAACTGGGATACTAGCCAGAGAAACAGACAAATATAAGTACCCAGTGAAGTAACAGCTATGTCCCCGTCCAAATGAAACCAAGCTGAAGAACCAATGTAATATTTAATACTAAATAAAATCTGTTTTAAAACAAGTTTCTTCTGAATTTTTCTGCTAAAATTTCTAAAAGAAAGCTTAAGGAACACAGATTTTACTATACACAGGTAAGCAATTATTTGCAATAGTAGGAAAGTGCCACTCAATTTACAGATGTGTAGAAAAAAATAGGTTTCAAGTCACATATAATTACTAAAGTTACTTTTCTCTCACACTAAGCACAACTGAAGTAAATACATACTGTATAAGGATTCTTTTTAAAATACTCCAGTAAACCAAACCACCAAGAGGTAGGGAACAGACGAAACTAACATTACAAAATGCGAAAATCACTGAAGATGAGTAATGGGTACATAAAGTTCATTAAATTCTCTCTTCTATATAGGTTTGAATTTTTTCATAGTAAAGCCTTTATTATTTGAATTAGGAAAAAAACTAGTAAATGGAAATACATAAATAAAATTAAATTATTCAACCAGTGCAAAAGGATACAGACATGACTCTTGACATCATTACGAAGACCTTTACGAACAAATTCATACGCTTCTTCTTTTTTTCCTAAACAGTTCAATGTTAATCCTTTCATAGCCAAAGTCTCTGAAAAATATTTTTAACCTCTATTTACACATGAAAGATTCAAATTATTCTCTTAGGACTATTTCAATATTTGAGATCTGCCAATGCTTATATTATTCATTTTTTTAATCTCATAGCTGGAAGAACTTCTCTCCAAATACAAAAAGTAAAACTACATTTAAGTATTTGCTTAAAGCTTAGGCCGAGTTCTTTCCTGAAATTTCTTAGGCTGGCACTGAGTTGCTAAAATGCTCTCTGCCCTTTAGAAGGCTCTATAAATGGGGCTGAGATTATTCTAATGAAAAAGGGAACCCAGCAGGCACCTGAGTCCTCGCGTTACATCTACAGCAGCAGCCCACGGATTTCACCTGAGATCAACTCTAATCAAGATCCAAATAATCTGATATGTACCCCACAAAAACACTCAACCCACCTTAACAAAGAAATGTACGCAATTTAAAAATCACCTGACTCAATATTGGAACTTGACTGGCATCAAGTTTATTCCAACTAATTCTAGGTAGGCTAACTAACATCAGTTTGCATTTCAAGAGTACAATACTGGACTATGGGAGTGGCAACCCAAGAATATGTTTAAGGTAGTTAATGAAAGATGGTTTAAAATTAAATAATTCTCCAAATAATCCACAAGGGAAACAATGATTTTCAAAATGATCTCTGTGGAGTCTGTCTTGCAGAACATGGTGGCCCGGCAGTGCAGGCCGCTATACCAAACGTCTTTTATCTGTTTTTACATAATGAAGTTCCCCACCAGTTTCCAGCTGAATAAGGGTTCCATAGCTAAAAAGCTTAAAAACAAGCTTTAAATTTCTAAAATTCTATGAAATGAATACTCCTTTCCATTTCCTACACATTATTAGAAAGCTAAGCAAGGTCAGCATATTTCCCCAATTAAGATGGTCTCAAAAATTACCCAAGTCTAATATTCAGAGACCCCAATTAGCCTTGCTCTGCTACCAGACTATTCTTTGCATGTCTAACCTGATCCATCCTTTTAACAAACATTGGTTATTGATGAAAAAAGATGAAACAAGCAAATAGAGACTTATTAACACCAGTGCTAGAAAAACAACTCAAGATAAACAATCTAATGGTAAATCAGTGGCATCATATTTATATATAAAGCTCAGCAGATACATTAAAAAAAAAACTCCCAAAGAAAAAAATGCATTTTACTGTATCTTCATATTACCTCTGGACTGCAAATATAGTTCTAATTTTATATATAGGAAATCAAAGTATAACCTTAAGTTCTATTCAAAGTAACAGAAGAAATCAGGTCTATAAAGATACTGGTATATACTCCAACTGTTCCCCAATAGATCAATCAACCATTTCTCATCTAAAAGTAAAGAGTGCACATATACCTAAGTATAACAGAAGTAACCTAGAGTAAAACTGCTATGAGGCATAACCAAAAATGTTCAACATTTATACTATCTAATGCAGAACCACCAGGCCATGGAATCTGGAAAGTATTCTTCTTTCACTGTTTAGGAATCCTGTCTGTCTGATTTTGGAGTTAGACTTCCCCAAAGCAGTCTCTCACAGATGAGACAATACCTCCATGTTCAGCAAATTTTGGATTCGAAAGAATCATCTTGCAAAACTTGAGGCCGTTTTTGTATTGCTTCTGTTCATAACATTTCTGTAAAGAAACATGAACAAATTATTTTATAAAATGAATATACATGGAGCAACTTTTCATTGCATTATATAAATTCTAAATACAAGTTCCAAAATTAGGTCTAAAACATGTGATGGAAAGGTTTTATATCAATTCATATTACTTACAACATGAAGTGTACTGCTGTTACCTGCTCCTTGCCAAACTGTTCTAGTATGAGCACTTTCACTTTTACAGAAGATAAAGGAAAAAAACACAATAAACAGAGAACATAATTGTCAGCCAACACTGCTACAGCTTTCTTAAATTCAAAATCCAAAAGCAAAAACATGTGTGATAAAAATATAGAAAAATACTATAAACTGCATTAAAAGACTTTGCTACTTCAAAAACAGAACCAAGGCATATACACCAAAAATACTGCCATTTATCGAGCAACTACCATATGTCTGTACAAAACTTGTTATAACATAATTCCTTAAGGTAGGTGTCATTACCTCCACCTTAGAGATGTGGAAACTGAAACTTAAGAGTTCATAAAATTTATTTATAAGTAGCTCAGCTTAGTTGCAAACTCCGGTCTGACTCCAAAGACCATGGTCTCTCCATCACTAATCTAATACAAGTGTAAGCAACCTCTATTCCTCAATGCCACCAGCCAGGCTAAGTAATCAGTGCCTGTCATCCACAGCCACTGACCAGGAGAACATCTCATCTTCTTTCACTCACCCTCTCACTTATATTGTTATGGGTGTTCCTTCTAGTACTCAACATGTCAAGCTGACCCCCTTAGGGGACCTCTGCATTTGTGCTCCTTCTACCTGAAATGTTCTTCTCCAGATCTTCCCACGGCGACTCCTTACCGTCAGAGTTTCGCACATCACCTACCTGACCACTCTATATAAAACTACCAGCCTCCTACCCACCACTCACACATATTCTCTACCATATTACTCGACTTTCTACATAGCGCTATCATTTCCTGAAATTCTTGATTACTTCTCAGTGTCTACCTTCCCCACCATACTGTAAGCTCCATGAGAACAGGGATCTTGCATATTTTAAACATGGCACATCCTCAGGTTCTAGACAAAGAAGCACCGCTCAATAAAGGCAGCCCTCTAAGTTCAAAGCAAAACGGTACCAGCAAAGGAGGAGGAAGCGATTAATCCTTGCAGCAGGAGTGGCAAGTGGAGGAGAGAAAAGTGTTCACAGAAAAAAATATTTAAATTGAAGCTTCTTGACTGCCTCTGGGGAAGGGAACTTGGTGGCTAGGGGACAAGGATAGGAGAGAAACCTCAATTTTGAACCGTGTGAATATATTACCTATTCCAAGAATAATTTAAAATAAAAATTTAAAAACTAACGATCTGAATTTGACTATAGGAGTTCACCTGACAAATGATGAGGAGGAAAAAACAAAAAGAAGGAACTAATGGGGGAGAGGAAAAGAAGAGATACACTATATTTTTTATCTGACTTACCAAGTGATCTGGAAGTAATAATAATCATACTACCAATAATACTAATAACAACAGTTAACACTTATTGGAAGCATTTACTATGTGTCAGGCCCTGTTCTCATTTACTCCTTACTCAAATCCCAGGAAAGCCTAAGAGATACATGTCATCTCCATTTTAGATGGAGACTGAGGCCCACAGTTATTGAGTTTACACAGCTGCTAAGCATCAGGGCCACAATTCAAACCCAGGCAGTCTGTCTCCAGTATCCAAATATTCAGGTTAAAGCAAAGTCTTAAGTCCAGTAAGGAACACATACTTAGTAGAAAAGATAGATTCTAGTTTCAACTTTGCTACTAACCAGAGAGAGAACTTTCGACACTTAGTCATTTACCATTCCTGGGTCTGATTGTCTCATCTGTAAAAGAGGGCATGGAGTAGCTCCAAAATTCAACAAAATGTAATGCTAACAGCCAGTCTGGAGAACAAGATAGGCAGATGCAAGTCATGCAGAAAATGTGATAACCTAACTGGCGAATTTGTAACGGCATGTTTAGGTACACTGATAATAAAAAAAAAAATTTACTGTTGGTAGCAAAGCACTCTGGTCCACCAACCAAACTTAAAAAAAATTTTTATTATAGACACTTTTGTTTGGCATGGAATTTGCTGTAGCAAAATTTTACCCACATTTATTGCAATTGTGAGATGATAAAATCATTCACTTTTGCAGCACCCTCCTAAATTGATGCAACCTTATAATAAACATTACATCCCCAGATCAAAAAATGTTTAGCATTTCCCAATTTATTGGGAGATAAAGTTAACTCAGCAGTGGCTTTAACTTTTTTGTAGCCAGAGTATAATAAATCATGTAGCTGTTTTTCATTATGCTACCAATAAACATGATTTGAAGTAGAAAATATCCATATATAGAGAAAATAAGTGTTCTGTCTTCTTTTAAGTATAAGGTCAAACGTCCTGAAATCCAACAATCCAACTAACAATTTATAGATGATTTTTCATCAACATGTTTTAGATTCCCTAGACCAAAAAAAAAAAAAAAAAACACCTACAAGGGCAAAAAAGTTCACTTCTCCAATTCAGTACTGTGAAAATATGAGGTACGAGAAAAGTGAAAGCAAAACAAGAAAATATATACAAAGCCAAGTGAAGCAATCTGCCAAAATGTTTTAAATAGAACTTTTGGTTTTTACACTTCTCTCTCATTACTTGCTCAACACTTAGCACCATATAAAATTGAGACAAAATTTTCACCCCATCTACTATGTATCTTTTCTAACACTCTAAAGATTAAGTGTGAAGTTTCTACTGGCTTGAAACAGAACAGCTACTATGAATTTTTATCTGCTGTTGATAATACTTAAAACCATTCTAGACCTACAACTAGAATATATAACTATGTACTGAGAGGCTTTGGAGAGAAGAGGAAAAAAAACCATTCTAAACTTAGTATCTTATTTATATTAAAGGTAAGCAACAGCTGATAGTTATAGAACCAACACAAGCTCTAAATAATAAATAAATCCATCCTTAAAATCTAAACGCTTGCTCACAGATGAAAAGACAGACTAGAATAGACAGCTACCCATCTACAATCTACAGTCCCCAGTGCAGACTGAGAAAAGCAGAAGCATGTTGCCTCTTCTCCCTGAAGAATGTAACCTGGAAAACCGTGAAGACATCAGGGACTTGGACACATACCCTACAGAAAACTCCGCTCTCGCCCGGGCAGCGGTCATTACCGGGCCATTATTCAGGTTTCTGCTCCGAAACAAGGTAAATGCTCCCCTCAAGTGCCAAACCAGCCAGCGCACACGGCTTTTAATCACTTACTCAAGGCAGGGCCTGCGCGAGTTAAAAGCAAAGAGCTGTGCTGGACTTTTTAACTGAGAAATGCAGTTCGTCACTTTTTCACTTTCCAAAGAGGGTAAGTACTTTACATCAAAAACGTGCAAACTCGCTCTTAAGGAGAGGCTTGGCCTCCTAGGGTTCCCCGTCTGATTTTCCCGTAACCGGCGTAAAGCGGAGCCCCACCCCTCCAGGGGGTCACTCCCGCTGCAATAAACACAAAGCAATGAATGAAGACCTGGCCGAGGGGAGCCTGGCAAAAGAAACAAGCGAGGAGGGTCGGAGGGTGGCGAGGCCCGCCGCAAGGCGCCGCACGGGGCCACCACCCGGCCGACGCGCCCTTGCCCAGAGCCCGCTGAGGGCGGCGTGAAGTTTCTGGAAGGAGCGCGGCGGGGGCGAGGCGGGCGGCTGCAGAGGGAAGGAGCGCGCGGAGGCCAGGAGAGACCCGGGCGGCCCGGGGCGGGGAAGCAGGTAGTGCGGGCTCGGAAATAAACACAGACGCGAGCGGGGCCGAGCCGGTTCGCGCGGGCACCGCCGCCTGCACAGGGCTCGGGGCGGCGGCGCGGGTCCCGGCCACTTACCAAGATGCGTTTGAAGAGGTTGCTCTCCTTGGGCGGCAGCTGCACGTTCGGCATCGCGGCCGGCGGGGAGGCTGCGCGCCCGGAGCTCCGTTTCGCGGGGGTGGGCACCGGGACGAGCCGCGGCTAAGAGTCGGGCTGCGGGCGTTGGGGGGGGGGGGGGGGTT